ATGCAGCAATGTATAATGTGAGAAAATTAAATAGTTTTTAATGATATAATGTTAAAGTAAACAGTCTTGTTCAATGGCCTATGTGTCCTATACATGTTTATGGGCAAACATAAAAGTAATGTGAAGTCATTTCAAATCACATTCTTGGGTGATTAAGTCCAGTTTCAAGGGTTCCCATAGCACTTAAAGATTGAAATGTTAATCGTTCTTCTGAGCTGAGAGCTGATGAATGAGAGGGGGAGGTAGTTGTGTGCATCAGTGTGCCTTAAAGAGTGCTCTGTTCCTCCTTAGTCCTCTCCCCATAGAAACTAGAGCACTCAGCAACCTGCAGGAAAAAGCCCAAACACTCATCTATCTTTCTTGAGTGTGTATATGTGAGCGTGTGTCTCGCTGAGTGTGTGCGTGTTCTCCTTGCACTCCATTTGTTTACTTCCCAGATGTAACGTACGGACAGAGACGGTCGGATCCATGTGCAGCACTTTATTAAAACAAGCAGACACAAACTGGCAAACACTTAAACAAAGGGGCAATCCAGAAACTCGTGGTCAAAACAGGCAAAGGTCGAGGCAGGCAGCACAGGTTCGTTTACAGTCCAGGAAACAGGCAAGGGTCAAGAGTCCAGGGAAACACGGAGACACAGAACAGGGAAGAACGCTCGGAATTGCACGCTTACAGTGTAACAAGACTTCGCAAGGGACACAGGGAAAACTCAGGCTTAAATAAGGAACTCAATAACCAATGATGAAACACAGCTGAACATAATGAAACACAAAGAGTCCAGGGGAAACAAACATGGGGAGAGGGTGCCCTCTAGTGGCTCTCGAGGGCACCACGGCTGCTGATCGTCACATAACCCCCCCTCTAAGGAGCGGCTTCCAGACGCTCCTAAGAGCTCCGGGGGGAGGTCGACGGGGGCTGGGATGGAGGGCCAGGCCCATGGAGAGGCAGGAGGCCAGGCACATGGAGAGGCCTGGGGCCGTGGAGCGTGGGTGACCAGGAAGGAGCAGGACGTGATGGCGGCCAGGGCGGAGCAGACACAGGCGAGGTCCATGACAGCCTCGCCTCCATGGCCCTCACGGACTCAGAGGTCCATGTCAGGATCACCTCCATGGCCCCCACAGAGTACCTACTGCCCCCCCCCAAAAAATACTTGGGGAAATTCACGGGAGGAGCCTCTGGGTGGTGAACTGGTACAGGAAAGGCCTCCCGGAGCTTGAAGGGTGCAGGCAGAGCGAGGCGCAGAGGCGGGGCCGGCAGAGCGAGGCGCAGAGGCGGGACCGGCAGAGCGAGGCGCAGAGGCGGGGCCGGCAGAGCGAGGCGCAGAGGCGGGGCCGGCAGAGCGAGGCGCAGAGGCGGGGCCGGCAGAGCGAGGCGCAGAGGCGGGGCCGGCAGAGCGAGGCGCAGAGGCGGGGCCGGCAGGGCGAGGCGCAGAGGCGGGGCCGGCAGGGCGAGGCGCAGAGGCGGGGCCGGCAGGGCGAGGCGCAGAGGCGGGGCCGGCAGGGCGAGGCGCAGAGGCGGGGCCGGCAGAGCGAGGCGCAGAGGCGGGGCCGGCAGGGCGAGGCGCAGAGGCGGGGCCGGCAGGGCGAGGCGCAGAGGCGGGGCCGGCAGGGCGAGGAGTCTGGGCACGCTCACCGGGGCCTGGCGAACCAAACGAGTCCTCCTTCTCCTCCTGCGGCGGCGCGTCACAGGGCTAGACACACTCGCTGGGCTGGACAACTCACTCACTTGAACTGGAGATGCAGCGCTCACTTGAAGAGGAGATGCAGCGCTCACTTGAAGAGGAGATGCAGCGCTCACTTGAAGAGGAGATGCAGCGCTCACTAGAAGAGGAGATTCAGCGCTCACTTGAAGAGGAGATTCAGCGCTCACTTGAAGAGGAGATTCAGCGCTCACTTGCAGAGGAGATTCAGCGCTCACTAGAAGAGGAGATTCAGCGCTCACTAGAAGAGGAGATTCAGCGCTCACTAGAAGAGGAGATTCAGCGCTCACTTGAAGAGGAGATTCAGCGCTCACTTGAAGAGGAGATTCAATTACTTGAACTGAAGACTCACTGGACAGACTGAATTCAACACTGGACACACTTGATTCACTCGGCTCAGCACTTGACTCACTTGACTCGGCACTCGATTCACTCAGCTCGGTATTTGACTCACTTGATTCACTCAGCTCGGCACTTGACTCACTCGAGTCGGCTGGCACGCGCTCAAACTCCGGTTCGACCCGCGACACCTCCGCTGTCTTAGAAACAGCACTTTTAACAGGGCCAGTGCGGGATACGGGCTCGAGGGGTCCGACATGATGAGTGGTTTTGGCAGGAACGATATGCTTAGAAGCGCCTCTGACGGTCCTTAAGGGAGGATCAAACAGTTTAGCGAGCTGAGGCTTATGCGGCGTGCGGAGTGAGTGAGAGAAATCCGCCGCATACGAACCTCCCCGGCGCAGGGAAAAGAGCAGTTCCTCGAGACCCTCCTTTTCTGCGGGGAGTTCAAAAGCCTTTCTGAACAGGGCGGTAAACACGTTGAAAGGAGGAAACGACATCCGACCTGGTTCCCAAAACGTGCCTGCCCACTCCAGAGCCTTTCCAGTCAACAGTGAGCAGATGAAAGAAACGCGGTCGGTATCCGAGGCGTATAACTGGGGCTGATGTTTCATATATAAACTGCACTGCTGAAGAAATCCTTCACACGCTCCAGGTGAGCCATTAAACTTTTCGGGAAACGGCGTACTGGAATTACTGCATGCGGTACTCACACAGGGTTGCGGTGGAACAGGTGCAGCGGGAGCTTGGGCTTGATTAGTGCTTGTGCTCTGCGGAGACCATGATTGCACGGAGCTAGCTAGTTCCTCGAGGAGAGAAGTTAGTCTCGCCAGCTGAGAACTATGAGAGGCTAGCATTGAAGAGCGGGTCTTGACCACGGCGGATAGATGCAGAAAGTCTGCTGGATCCTCGTTTGGCGAAGTCTTCTGTAACGTACGGACAGAGACGGTCGGATCCATGTGCAGCACTTTATTAAAACAAGCAGACACAAACTGGCAAACACTTAAACAAAGGGGCAATCCAGAAACTCGTGGTCAAAACAGGCAAAGGTCGAGGCAGGCAGCACAGGTTCGTTTACAGTCCAGGAAACAGGCAAGGGTCAAGAGTCCAGGGAAACACGGAGACACAGAACAGGGAAGAACGCTCGGAATTGCACGCTTACAGTGTAACAAGACTTCGCAAGGGACACAGGGAAAACTCAGGCTTAAATAAGGAACTCAATAACCAATGATGAAACACAGCTGAACATAATGAAACACAAAGAGTCCAGGGGAAACAAACATGGGGAGAGGGTGCCCTCTAGTGGCTCTCGAGGGCACCACGGCTGCTGATCGTCACACCAGAGTTCTTTTTGAATGAGGACAGATAGCTAAGCTAACTCTGAGAAACTAAAGGAGTGGGGAGATTCAGGCGGATTTATTTACCATGTAATTTATAGTGCCACTAAAACGTTTTTTTTTTTTTTTTTTCATTTTATGCTTGAAGTTTATCATAGGAGTCCACTCAAGCCTTTTCGTTGAACCTGAATTATTATTTTTTTTTACGTTTTTGTTTGTTCAGATTCATAAGCGAATGGGTCTAGCCATGTTTTTAGCCACGTAGACCAGTGTTGTAGTACTCGAGACTCGGACTCGGTCTCGAGACCATATTTTAATGGTCTTGGTCTTGTCATGGACTCGTGTGCATTTGGACTCGGAATTGACTCGTACTCGAAAAAAAAATTTTTTAGGACTCTGACTTATTCCCGAGTCCACTCGAGTTCAATTATTAATGTATGTTAATAAAATATTTCTTTAAATTGATTGACACGCCCAGTGATTGGTGATTTTCTAGTGCACAACTGCGCATGACAAATTGTAATAAAATTACTTTTAACACCACCTACTATGTGGCCTTTTTACCCTAAACTGATCATATTTTTTAAACTCTAAGTAAATTCAGTAAAATAAAAAAAAGGATTTCTCTAAGTAAATAAAAGTAAATTAGGTAATCAACCCTCACTGGTCTCGGTCTCGACTCGGACTCGACCATCTCTGGTCTTGGACTCGACTCGGACTCGACTCTCTCTGGTCTCGGTCTCGACTCGGACTCGAGTGAGGTGGTCTCGACTACAACACTGACGTGGACTTTAATGTTTAATTTGTTTACTTATATGCAGCTGTGGATATTACATCACAGAACAATTACCGGTAACACTTTATTTTATCGTGTCCCTGTTATACATTTTACATGTACGGTAGTTACTATAGAATAACAGTCAAGTTACATCAAACCTTAACCCTAACCCTTATTATATAATAACTTGTAGTTAATTACTATTACTCATTAATGAATTGTATAATTGCACTGTAACACGGACAGCTTAAAATAAAGTTTAACCAAATTGCATTTTGTGTGTGTGTTTGTGTGTTTTAGAGGGCATTTCCATGTAAAGAGGGTAGTGAAAAGGACATTAGAAACATTTTGAGGAAAAAAAGACTAGTCTTTTTAAGAGACAACTTTTAACAGTTTGCATTATCTAAAAACATACGTAATTAGTATATTCAAACTTTTTGCATAATTTAATAAAATTGCAGCTTAATGACGCAAAAAAAAAAAAAGATTAAAAAAATATTTACCTTGATCCATTTTCTTCACACATCACATTTCTTATCTCCTTTCCTTTGTGTCTTTAATAACAAAGAACGTAGTCAATTTGGAGAAGAATTTCACATGAGCAATGATATTTCACTCTTTGTTTAGATGATTAATGTGTAAGTTTGGTGTCCTGAATCGACCATTATTAATCAATATCTTAACAATAAAGTCTATGCATACATGTACATAAAAGAAATGCAAAATGTCATGGCATGAAAAGGCTTTACAAAACAATATGACCTTCATATAACAAATAGACAGATGTCGAGATCCCTATTATTGGTGTAGGAAGATTGGCTTCACATGATCTGTTTTTCTCTCGTAGTGGAGCTGAAGTTCAATCTGGATCATTACGTGAATAAGCGATATCCTGGCCTGGTCAAGATCGTGAGGAACAGTAAGAGAGAGGGACTCATTCGGGCCAGGATTCACGGCTGGAACGCAGCCACTGCTCCTGTTGTGGGCTTCTTTGACGCCCACGTGGAGTTCAACACGGCCTGGTAAGTGGGATTCTTTCTTTTATTATTTTATGAGGCATTGTCTCGCCACTCAGAGTATCACTGGGATGCTTCTTCTGACAAAGGCTTGATTTATCAGAGAATATTCATCATGACATCAATGGGAGCTTAGACTATAGCGAAGAGAGCTGCCGGATGGGTTTTTATCTAAAGCATCTGTCAAAAATGAACTGATAGATTAATGATCTGAGAAATGGATGAATAAGATGTGACATATATAACCTTTTTGCTTTTTGATGATAATGGGCTGCAGGAATTTTAAAGCTCATATACAGTATGTTGTTTAGTGCTGGTTTGGTTGGGAACCGGCATCCAAACTACAACACTAGCGACCAATGTGTTTTTTCAAGTCAATCCAGTAGTGCTGCACAATTAATCATTACAAGATCACAATCTCGATTCAAACAACCACTCAATTTTATTCCAAAATGACAACGATTCGACTATGTCTATTAAACCTTTGAAAAAAATCACACCGGAAAATTAAACAACTTCACAAACAGACAGTATCTTTATCAAATGATAGTACTGGGATACAAGTTTTGAACGGGTTGCCTTACAGAAAGCTGGAGCTATTCTTGTAGCTATTCTTGCAGATAGTGAAAGTAAGCTTTTGGCGCTTCAAATACCAATTGTATCGATTACATTGTTACGCCACTAGATTGCGTCAAGTGACTGCTAAAAATGTGCTTGTCATTGAATCATTGATTCAAGCAATTTGCTCAAAAACACTGATTCATCCAGTAATGAAACAAGTGGATTACTAATGAGTGAGTCATTGAATCATTCATTCAAGAGATTTGTTCAAAACCGCTGATTCATCCAGTAATGAAATGAGTGACGTATTTTTGAGTGGGTTATTAAATCATTAATTCGTACGAATGTTTTTAAAAAATAATTAACAATGAATCATTTGTCAAACCCTCTAGTAAATTATGTTATTTTATTTAGTTGTCTATTTAGACTAATAATTTCTCTATTTGAAAAACAAAACAAAAAACGCGATTCTCCAGAATCTACCTCTACAATCCAGGTAGAACAAAAAAATCCATTGTTTGTTGCGTCCAAAAGCACAAAACAGCTCAGATGCGCTGAGACTGGCACTACCAGCCCACACTTAAAATCCTTAAATGAACTTAGGCATCCTTCATCTGTCACCTCCTTCAACTCAAAAGCAATGAGTTCTCATTAAGGCGTCCCATTATGACCTCCATTGGGGAATTATGGATTAACCATTAATGAGCTTTTCCTCTTTGTTCCACAACATAGACATTTATTGGAGAGATGATCACTGAATGAGGCCACCGTTTCAGGCATATGATACTGAATCTGAGGTCAGAAAGACAGGAGATGCTTGTCTTTGAGCCAAAATTAAATTTGTTTCATTATCACTTCCCTTGTGCAAAACTTGGATTGCTTTTTTTTTTTTTCCATTTAAATGGGTTTTGCCTCTGCATGTGAGCTCCAAATTTCAAGGTGTGAAATATGATGGTACGAAATGAAATGCGTTTTAGTGTTTTATTTAAAAGGGGTCATATCAAAATGTATTTTTTTCTTCCTTAGTGTTCCTCTAACATATATTTTTTTTTAATGTTATGTATTTTCATGTTGATTTTCCACCCTCTGACTTAAATAGATGCATTTGGCTGCTGCGCCTTTAAGAAACACCCTCCTCACAAATGAGTAGAAGTTTTGAAAATTAGCATGTTTTCATAATACATCAAGGGTCATGTATGTCAAAAGATCAAGGTACATTTGATTCCTAATGATATGGCACCTTTAACATACTGTTGGATTTCACATACTCTCAGGAAAAAAAGGTACAAAAGCTGTCACTGGGGCTTTACCTTTTCAAAAGGTACACTTTTGTACCCAAAGGCTGAGTATTGTTACCTTAGTGGTACATTAGCACCTAAAATGTTCATGTTACCACTTAAAATGGACATATTAGCTCATAAAATGGACATATTAGCACGTAAAATGTACATATTACCACTTAAAATGTACATATTAGGACCTAAAATTGACATATTAACCCTGAAATGGACATATTAGCACCTAAAATGTACATATTAACACCTAAAATGTTCATATTACCACCTAAAACGGACATATTAGTTCATGAAATGGACATATTAGCACGTAAAACGTACATATTAACACTTAAAATGTACATATTAGGACCTAAAATGGACATATTAGCTCCTGAAATGGACATATTAGCACCTAAAATGTACATATTAACACTTAAAATGTACATATTAGCACCTAAAATGTACATATTAGCACCTAAAATGGACAAAAGTTTACATTTTGAAAAGGTACAGCCCCAGTGACAGCTTTTGTACCTTTTTTCTGAGAGTGCAGGGTGATATCCAAGCTCAAAAATAAGATCTGTTTTGAATTGTGAGGAACTCCTCTCTTTATGTCATCACCAGCCCATCATTTCGTCATCACCCTGTCGTTGTAAGTCATGGACTTGCACATAGTTATTGTTAGTCATTGTACCATCAGATTCAGATCTTCCCATGGATATATTGTCTATTTTGTTTCCACATTTGATGAGAAATCTTTTTCTATTAATAGAAACATCACATGGTAAACTTTGAAGTAACTTGACGTAAAGCAAAGCTTCAAAGGAAAGTTGATTTTTATATTGGCGGGATATATCATGCTATGCAGGAGGGTTGACAATTAGCACTTTGATGTGTACGTTTCAAAGTAACCGGAGGCAACTAACAGAAATCCAAAGAGGCCAATTAGTCACAGAAACTGTGCAGTACTTCATATATGCTAAGAACAACAGTTTCTAAAATATAGAGGTAAATTCATTAAAAATTATGTCATAATTTACTGAACCTCAAGTCGTTACAAATCGGTGTGACTTTCTTTCTTCTGTGGAACACAAAAGAAGATATTTTGAAGAATGTTCCAGTGCTTTGTTTTTTTGTTTGTTTTTTTTTTGTTGGAACTTTTTGAAATTTCTTGTATGGGCAAAAGCAGTTGAAACATTCAAAATATCTTATTTTGTGTTTTCACAGAAGCAATAAAGTCATACAGGTTTGGAGCAACATAAATTATTAACTAGGAGCTCATTGTATTGAACTCAGGATGGGCGTTTGTCAAGAATCCATATGCAGAAGTTTTATTGAAGCAGAAAATCCAAATCGACAGGCAAAGCAATGGTCAAAGATACAGCTGTGTTCAGTGAACAAAAATAGACCAACGGGTGTGGGACAGCGTGCAAAAATATCCAAAAGGCAGGCAAAAGGTCATAACAAGAGGTAAAAACAATAGCAGTGGATAGAACGATCAGTAAGGCAGAAAAAACTGTGACTCAGTGATTTCCTTTACCAAGTATGCTGGTTCTCCATTAATCTCCACGGGTGGTGGAGGTTCAGATTCCATGGTTTCGGGGCCACATGCAGGGTGGACCGGTTTTAGCAATGATACATGAAATGAAGGAGAAATTCGGTAATTAGAAGGAAGCTTAAGTCTACAGGTCACAGGATTTATCTGTCTGATTATACAAGATGGGCCTATACCTACTAGTAGGTAGCCGTAGACGCAAGTCTCATGTGAAAAGCCAGACCCTGCCTGGCTGATATTTAGGGTGGGGAAGCCTCCGTCGATTCGCTTGGATTCTCTGAGAATGAGGGGCACGTTGAAGCCTCACATGGGCGCTGTTCCACACCCGTTCACTCCTTCTGACTCAGTCATCTACCACCGGTAGATTATTCTACCAAATCTTTTCAACCTAAATCACTATTGCCAACTTTTTTGCACAGAGATCAGGTATATTATGAGTAGTCATTTTAAGGAAGTCATGTCGAGCATGGGATTTTGGCCAAAGAATGTGGTATTTTGTTGCATGGTACATAATTTTAAGTGTGTGCCCTCTAATACAAATTCTACATTATTTTACATGAACAAGTTTTTTTGTTTTCAGATTTTGGCATGAGGGAATTTTGTAGTCACTCTACTACTCATTCAGTTGCGTATCTGTAATTTAGCTTGTCGTCTGTAGAGCTCTAGATTGTGAATTATGCAACCCGATCTCACGGGAATTCGTACGAATTTTACGAGGTGGCTAATTCGTAACAATTCATACGACCTCAGTCGTACAAATTAGTACGATTTTTGCTAAATCGTACATATTTTACGAATTGGCCAATTCGTATGAATTCGTACGAATGACCCACCCCTGACCCCGCCCCTAAACATAACCGTCACGTGGGTTTAGACAAATCGTATGAATTCGCACGAGTGAGGTCGTACGAATTAGTACGAATTAGCCACTTTTTAATCACTCGTACGAATTCGTACGAATTGGTCGTGAGATAGGGTAGGAATTATGTATTTTTTTTAAAGGTGTTTCAGTCTTCAGTGTGAGTGACACTTGTGGACAGCACATAACAAATTATACCACAGCCTGTAGTTCCACCCTAATTTGAGCTTGTCGACCTGTCAGTTTCAAGATGTTTGTGCGTGTCACATGAGGATAGAGTATACAGCCAGCCCAGTGGGTCACAAATTGCTCCTACTTTATGACTTACACAAAACCTTTTCTCCAGGACAGAACATAGTGTTCTAGACTCATTCAGTATTCATCCACGTGACTTGATCTGAATAATCATATTCATATGTCATTCCAATTCAGATCAAGTCCATGCCATGCCAAATGTGCTTTTCTTGTTAAAATTACATCTAAATTTATATTTCTAATTTAATTAATTTTAATTGCACTTCCCTTCAATTCTCCATATTATTTGCTGCCTCAAATCAAATGCAGGTATTTAATTAAATTTTGAAAGTGAAAACATCCTATTTTTTTTTTTGAACATTTCAGGAAGATTTATTCCATCTTGGTGTTTCCATTTCAGAATTTGTCTGAGCTGAACAAGATCTACCTTTGCACTCCAAGTCACAATCGGTGTGTATTTCAATATGCATTGTACTTGTGAACATACACGCCTGAATTA